CTTTGTGTTGTTTGAAGGAATATAAATGAAATAAAGCAATTTATACCAAGTGCCTAAAATTATTCATTTTGGAAGCAAGGTACAATTATATTTTGAAGGTATACTTTCACATTACTTCAAATGATGAAACAGCAATAATAATTGTTATGAACATGCACAAATGTCCAGAGTTACTGTGTGCAATTACAGGATAAAAAATGATTAAAGTGCAACTCAACCATTCAACTCATTGAATGAAATGTATGTGATGTTGTTTAGCTGGAGTGAAACAAAACTCTCTTTTGAAACAGTCTAATTATTATAATTATTATCCCTTTGACTACGACCTAAAAACTAAAAAAAAAATAGTAAAACACTCTAAATGCAGCAAAACCTACAAGAGTTTTGTACCTGTCAGAAGACCGGGATTCAAGCCAATGTTCCGCAGACTATCCTCTGCTTTTGCTGTTTCTTACCTCATGTCTGTGGCTGAACCTAAGGAGAGGTTTAGTTTATTCACCTCAAATATGGTTGAGTACACTGATTTGATGTCATGTCCATAATGAAATTGTAATTTCAATGACACTGAAACATGCATTTTGTCATTCTAATTATGTCATTGTGTTACAAAGTGCACCAAGGACAATTGAATATTTATAATCAGAACCCAAGCTTAGCTGTCCATATATTTCAAGTTGTTTTCTGCATAACTGTACTTCTTATTCAGACTCTGGCCCTTTCAGGCTTAAATCATCCAAGCGGACTAAGTGTTCTGTTAACCCTGCAGATCACTGTCCACTCCTAGCTCTTCGAATGACAGCTGCCTCGTTTTTAGAATACGGTGCACTTGTCAGGTTCAGAAAACTGTGTTCACCACTTTATGTTTATGGCTTTCACAATAAGGAAGAAAGCAGAAAAGCAGGAAGCTGATATACTGTACAGTGCAATTCAATCTGGTCATGCAGATCTTGATAATGGATGCAAGTACACATCAAAATTTTAGAAGGTAAATTTGATACAATTCATTACAAAATATAGCTCATCACCTTAATTCTTAATTATTATTTTTTTGGCCAAAAACAGCAGCTTTGTGTTTTTATTGTGCCACATGCTTTCCTTATATGCGACCTCCTATCTGTATGTGAGGAAACAGACAAAGGAGAACATCCGTTCTTTAATACGGTTTTCATTCAATTGATAAAAATAAACTATGGCCAACAATTCCATCTATCTACGTAGATTCCCTGGATGTGGAGGCTAGGTTTTGCTTTTGCTAAAGAAATTTCTATCCCCTCGTCCTCCCAGCATAGCCAGCTGGTCAGTACATAGATTGCCAGAACAGGCTCAAAGTTCACCAACACATAAATATGAAAGAACTTCATAATTTTAACATTGTGACTTTCCCATCCATTCCAATACAAAAAAAAATCTTAAGCTTAAGAAGCACTCAGTAGAAGACACTATTGTGGAATATTTATGGTGGAGTAGTTGAGATAATAGCATCCTGAAAAAAACATCTAAACCACAGCAATTTTGTAATTAAGAATCATCCAGGTACTTATTCTCTAATATACTGTAGCTGTATTTCTCTCCATCAAAACAATCCTGCAAATGAATACAATCAGATGAGGTTAAATCTCTTTCTAACTTCCAAAATTCCAACATCCAACTTCACAAAATGTTTTTGTAGCAGTAGTTAGACTCACCAGCAAAAGACTTACAACAACCTAAGAATTATCCTTAAGTAGGAACAGACAAGAAAATTAGCCACATACACCCAAACGTGTGCCATCTCAGCGTACTCTTAAGATGGGTAAACTGATGTCATGCTGCTAGGGTCAGGGGTAAACTAACTGAACATGGCTGAAATGGGTTATCTGCTAAGTGAAGACTTTAGAGAGAGACTGAACCCAGTTCAGATTATCTGTCACGTGCACAAGTGCAATGTGTCACAGTTGTCATCCCTCCCCTAGAAGGTGCTCCTACCTTTTTCGTATTGATTTTAGCTTAGTTCTGTCAGCTGTATTTCCTCCCTTTTTTGTTATATAAACCCAGCGACTCCGTAGTTCTGGGCTCAGCATTGGAAGACAGACATCTGAAGGCCCACCTATCGCCAGGCCTGGAGTAGCCTGAGGGCCCAGGCCTTCACCCTGGCATCCTGCCCTACTGAGTATGGGGCTCGGTGCGCCTAGTCCCGTCATGTTTTTATCTTCCGTGTTCCTGGCCCTAGTTCCCTGTTCCCTGGTTTTTAACTGTCCTCATCTTGAACGAATCTCCTGGCTTTTAGATTTCGGACTGCACCCTGACTTCCCTTTTTGGACTTCCCTGGACTTGTTTGCCTGGGCTTTTCCCCTGGGCACCTGATCACTACAGTCACCACCCCCAGTCTGTCAACCTTAACCCTAACACTTCTGGAGTATACCGTCACGCATAGGGTCTCTATTGCACACTCCATGGGAGTCTGACCAGCCTCCCTCGCACACAGTCACATACTTATTTGCAAGTGTGCCCCATTACAAAGACGTTAAGAAAACACCAAACCTAAACACAGAACAGCAGAAGCAAGAACAACAAAATTAAATAATGTACAACTTAAATAAAAGTCAGCACAAGCATTTAAAAAAAAAACCTCAGCATGAGTCAATGGTAGAGGTGGTATTTAATAATCTGACAGCTTGAGGGAAGAAGCACAACTCACAGGAAGTCATGTGCATGTTCATTCATTGGCAATTAGAAGTTGAGGAGTAAAGGATATTGTAAAAACATACAGCCAGATCGGAATGTATTTCATGAGTACATCATACGCTTTGATAATGGCAAAAAGTTAATAACTTCTCTTAATTTTGGTTTCTCTGATTTTGACACTATTCAGTAATGATAACAGTTGGGCTAGAGACCTAAGACATTTCCATTTCATATCCAGCTGGGTGTCGGGAGTTGCAGCGGAGCTACAGGGCTACAGGGGAAAAGCAGTGGCTCTGTGGTTAAGGATCTGTGCTTGTGGCTGGAAGGTTGCCAGTTCAAATCCTGTGGCTGGCAGAGGAATCCTACTCTGTGTGGACCCTGAGTAAGGCCCTAAACCCCAACTGCTCCAGGGGTGCTGTATAAATGGCTGACCCTGTGCTCTGACCCCAAGCTTCTCTCTGTGCCTGTGTGTATCATGGAGAGCAAGCTGGGGTATGTGAAAAGACAAATTCCTAATTCAAGAAATTGTATGCGGCTAATAAAATGATCTTATCTTACAGTATGTTGCAATGTATAATATAGTCACTGGCAGTAGTGCAAAAAAAGCAGATTCATAAGTTATGTTTTACTCCTCTTTCATCTTATTATCCAGTAACCACTGTGATTTTCCTAATCTAAAAAGCATTTTAAAATATTACCAAACTATCTGACTTTACATGTGATGATCAGTAAACTACCAATCGGACAGCCTTACTAAGACTGAGGATTACCGGCTGAGCAGTGTAGATCAAGACTAATGCCACAGAAATAGAACTCATGCACCTCAGGATAAAAACATCTTACACACAGAGCGACTCCCTTTGTCACACTCACAGTTCTAAATCCATTTAATTGATTTTACATAACATTTACATATCATTACACATTATATCACTATTAATAATATTATTACCTCTTATGTTTTTAGGATAACAGTATTATGCACAGAATTAACACATTTCGTGGTGGCTTAGTTTTGAAAATACCTTCAAGTAGCAGATTAATTTTTGGAGCAGTTCAAATGGTGCAGCAAAACTTCAAGTTACAAAATCCACCTTACTCTTGAAAGACAGCCTTTTCCCACACATTTATCTGTATTTGCATAACCCAAGCAAACAATCCCAGAGCCTAAGAACATCTCTTGAAATAATGGATAATAATAGAGCTAGTGCATCTAGCTGAACACATAACAACCTCAATGCAACGAAATGTTCACCAGGGAAACCACCAAAACTCCTACGTCAAATTAAAATAAATGCATTGAGATATTGGGATTTCTGTGCAATTATAGTAATGTTTATCAAAGCAGTGTCTTAGGTGGTGTTGAACACTATCGTGGTAACAATAAAAAAGTAAATATGTTCGGCCAAAATAATTAAGAGGCCGCTATAAAGTTAATGAGCAAAAATCTAAAACAATATTCACTATAATTTTAATCAAATGCAGTCTATGTGTGATATAAAATCTACAGCAACATTTTAATGTAAATACCTTATTAGTTTAAGATTGTGAATTATTTGGAGTAAAATTACAAGGATCCCCTTGAACTTCACGTATATTCTACTTAAATAGTACTTTCCAATACACTACAAATCTTGCATTAAATAACATTTCTTATAGAGTATTCAATGGTCAATGACGATTACTAGCGACATAGATAACATAAAAACTACAATCATAACGAAGCCCATTACTATTGTACTTTATTTTACATAGATTAACAATAATTTGAAAAAAATAAAGAATTTTCTCCAAGATCCATAACTTAAGTAAACTAAGATGAAGGCTGCAATCTGATTCTATACATCATGTTACACATCATTTATTTAATGCTGATTTTCTTATAATTTTATAGACCTTACAATTAAAAAATACCGTTCTTTGAGAATAGTCCCTCCTAACTATCGTTAGCGCTGCATATACAGTAACAGGCACGTATTCCTCTATTCGTCAGTTTCAAAGGTAAGTGACAAAGCCCTTCAGATCTTGTTAAAACCATGCCTCACACAGCGTATCGCGCCTTTCCTGTTATCACATTGTGTCCCTCTTCAATGTCCAGTAAACAAAATAACAGAATAAACAACAGACAGACTAGCTGGATAGCGTAAGGTTTGAGATCAGAGAACATTGTGCATCAACTGTAACATGTGGTCCTAAAGGCTGGGGATGACACTTGTTTCGGAGTAGTTATCCTAAAAAATACACAATGCGACTAAAAAGCATCTGGCAGCTCTAACCGGTCATGAGGACCACCGGCAGAAGGGACAGAGCCTGTATTTTTATTCCTTGACACTTACCAGATAGGCGGGCGTGAGAGCAGAACCGGTTTCCACTTAAGCCCCCCAGAAGTGTGGGCTATACATGAGCAGCAGCACGTCGCTCGCCGGCTAGCGTCCTCCTCTGCTCGCCTTCAATAAGCCCACACCGATCATTACTGTCCTGGTACGGTGACATCATGCGGGCATGTTCCATGCGCAGGAGAGGGAAGAAGCGAGACTGGAGGTGCTGTCCTTCTCCCTCTGTGTCGGCACTGTCTGTAAGGAATCATCTGTATCAACGACGCGGAACACTGCATTCCGCTTAACATCACGTCGTGTCACCGCAGTGACACAGACACAGCTCTGGCTGTTACCAGAGCGCAATCGTAGTAATACCGTGAGCTCACAAATATTAGTACAGTCGGTTTTTTTATAGGCAATGTTGGGGGGGGCGGCGAAACAAAAGATTGTTCAGAAAATTGCTTTGCACACGTCATATTTTAATTTTAAAAGGATCCAAGTTTACCGATTCGTGGTAAGAGGATGTATGTATACTGTACATCCACACAGGACACGCACACAAACCAAGCACGCACAGTTAGGCTGGCCAGCTTGTGTTTGGAAAGGGAGCATCAGAACAAGCCGTCCGAGAGCACACTGAGGGAATCCCAGTCCGCAAGCCAGCACCAGGCTCGACAGCAGGGGAGCGGCAGGGGGTACCTGCTGTAGCCAGCCGGGCACGCAAGTCTGGTAGAGTGACCGCTCAAAACGAGCAGTTTGGTTAACTAGTATTACATTCTTGAATTGCATAGCGTATTACAAAGAAGCGATAACTCGTGTTCACTTTTATATTGTACGGCCGAAGCACCCGAATCAGTCGTTCTGCTGTTTGAAGAAGTTCAAGTAGGGAGCTGCGTCAGCGTGCATAGGCTGCAAAACCAGGTACAGGTTTATTCCCTGCGGAAAGACAGAAGGCTCACACCTGAAGAAGGCTCCACAGCTGAAGTGTGGTCTCTTTTCTTTTCCTTTCGGCATGGAATAAACCTTCACCTGTTCTGCTTTGTGTGCTGTTAATTAAAGGAGCTTCATGCAAGGTGATTATTTCAGGTGTCACTGGGCTTGTCTTGGCACGTACAGTACGAGCCTTTCGCCGCTTTTCACTGATTGATTCAAGCATCTCATCTCATCCGGTCGTTTCTTCAAAGCAGGGAAGCGCCAAGTAAGTTTCTACAAAGAAATGTGTCTGAAAGCATTTTCCTTTCGTTTCGCCTTAGTTTGAAGTGTCCTAAGACAACTGTGGTTGCAGGGTAATTCTCTGCTGATGCATCCTTTATTTTTAAAAAACAGTACTTGAATACAAATTATTTTAAATAAGGCTAAATGTGGATGGAAAAATCAGGAAAACCGATATAATTATCTGTTGTTGTTGTTGTTGTTGTTGTTGTTGTTGTTGTTGTTGTTGCAACCCTGGGAGTGATATGACATATTAAATGACCTGAAGTTTATTAGAAAACGTCTTCTCAAAAGGGGAGCACTCAATCGAATCAGGAGTAAACTCGCATGTTCCTGAAGACAAGAGCACTCTTGGATGGTGCACTTGTCAACATTTACCAAATGATCAAGTAAAGGTTTACTCCATGCTGATAGTTACTGACTGTATCTGAACCACTTTTACCAAATGATGTCCAATGAATACCTACAGTAGATGGGTTTATCCACCTAATGTTCAGGCAACTCACTGCTGTGCTATATCACATGGTAAGAAATATATACATTTCTAAAATGCAAATAAGCGCTGATTTATGTGAGAAACCAATAAACCTTCTCAAAAGAAAAAAATACACCAGAGAGCCAAGGGAAAGGTAACTTTCAGTGTGATATTAACCCTAAACAAAAAGATTAAGCACATGTAAAGAATAAACCTTTAAAGGACAAAGTTACATATTGAAGCCGTTGTTTCTATCAACTCTTGCCAATAACTCCTCTTATATGCTCTGGCACAAGAGTGAAAAGAAGATTGGAATTGCAAGAAATGTTTTCAGGGATGTGAGAGGGAGTGTGTGGATAGAAAGAGAAACACTACACAAATTATTATTTCCATTTCAACTAAAGGAGCAAGGGGAACGCCTCTGGATTTGCATTTTCTTTTAAGAAGATTAATGCATTTTCAGAGTAAATAATTGGTTTGCCATTTCTTTCTGTCATACTGAATGTGTTTCAGTATGTTTGTCCAGAAGTATCAATTATGATAAATAAACTCTTTATATTAGTACCATTTGCAGGGTTTTTAACTTATATGAGTCAGGATATTGCTTGCCACTTTAGAATAAAATGATTGGATGGAATAATCTCTGGAGATGGCTAGACATTTTAAAAATCATGCCTTTCAGAATTCTTATTAGTATTCAGAGGCACATGTTCTCTTTCCTTTTAAATTGTGTCTCAGAGCTTGTTACACGCTTGTGTAATACTCACTGGATGCCAGTTGAACACTTATTGCAGGCTTTTATACATTTAATGGAAAACTTTGAATATAAAGACCTACTAACCTACTATACAGTATATGCATACATTATATGCTAAGCATATTCTTAGCACAAGTATGTTCAAGCAAACCCTAAATTAAGCTTGTTGTTAAGTAATTTCTTCACACCATTTGCAAACATCTTTCTGATCACCAAATTGCAGAGAATCAGGATTAATGTTTTGAAAATGTGTAAACTGAATCATCTCACGCTTTATAAATGACTATGCTTGACTCTGGGTGAGGCATCGTACTGTTTTACTTATCCACAAATGGGTTGCTTCCCCCTGTTATAAATACACCTCCACAACATCTGCCAGGAACAAAACATGTTCTGTTTGTAGTCTTGTTTAGTCAAATACACTACAAATAATAGCAATTGCAATATAATTGTAGTATTAATATAAATTAAGATGACAAATGAAAGGGAGCATACAGTACTTTAATTTAGATTAAATTTGCACTATGTATAGTCTTCAAAATATACATAAAGAATGCAAAGGAGTCTAGAATTAAATATTTGGTTTAAGTAAAGGTCAGTATCCACTTGTATCCATTGTCTGAGAGCCGCTGGTTCCTGGTAATTACTGCAGCAGCCCAGAGAGAATCCAAACAGGACACCAGTCACTTCAAGGCACACACACTGAGGGAGAGCTTAGAGGCAACAATGAACCTATACAGCATGTGTTTGCTGTAATGGTTCTTGGGGTTTCTGCCCTTGAGCTCCTTCCCTGCCAGTTCATCCCTCACTGCCTGGGCACGAACCCAGGTCTCTGGAGTCACACAACAGGAAACTTGCTGGCTGAGCTAAAAGAGACCTCCCCCAGCCCAGGCGGCTGACATCCCTGTTATACGCAGGGAATTATTCGTTACATTGGAAAAAAACAGAACAGCTGTCAAAGACCCACAGGAACATGGGGGGAACATGCAAACTCCTCCATAGAGAAGGCACTCCAGTCTGGAAGCGAAGATGTAATCTTCAGTCAGGGCTAAGAGGAAGCAGCAATATACGCCAGGCCACTGTGCAACTCCGGTAGCCAATTCTCATATTAGACAGAAATACAAATCAGCTCTACTGTACAAGGGGTTTCAGTGTATTGGTGAACACAGCATGCTGTACTCCACAAGGAACAAAACTGTGGGAAAGGTTTGAGTGAAGCAGCAAATACAGTGAATATCAAAGGTCTAGACACCTTTGTTGAAATTCCAGCTTTTTGTTGACATACAGGCTGAAATCAAGACAACTCATGTCAGACCTTTTTCACCTTTAATAAGATCTTGTAACAAACATTTGATCCATTTCTTTTTCAGTTAAATAATGTTAATTAATAAACAATTCAGAATGTTTGTATAGTCTATTGTATAGTTATATACTCAGTCTATAGTTCCTTCCTGCTTTAAGAAAACCACCATTGTCCCCATTCCTAAGAAACCCAGAGTCAGCTGCCTGAATGAATACCGCCCTGTTGCCCTCAAATCAATTATCATGAAGTGCTTCGAGCAGCTGGTTAAAATATATATCACCTATCACGTATCGCCAGAACAGGTCAACAGTAGATGCTATTACCAGTGCCCTTCACACTGCCCTCTCACACCTGGATAAGAAAGGAACATATGTGAGAATGCTGTTTGTTGATTACAGCTCAGCATTCATTACCATAGTGCCCTCAAAGCTCGTCATCAAGCTCCAGGACCTGGGACTGAACACCTCCCTCTGTAACTGGATCCTGCACTTCTTGACAGAACGTCCGCAGGTTGTGAGGGTGGGCACCAACATATCCTCTACCCTGACTCTAAACACTGGAGCCCCCCAAGGCTGTGTGCTTAGCCCTGTCCTCTACTCCTTATTTAACCATGACTGTGTCACCAGGCATAACTCAAACTCCATCATTAAGTTTGCGTACGATACAACAGTCATGGGCCTGATCACAGATGGTGAAGACTCTGTGTACAGGGAAGAGGTTGAAACCCTGGCAGTATGGTGCCAGGAGAACAACCTCTCTCTGAACATCTGTAAGACTAAGGAGATGATTGTGGATTATAGGAAACACCAGGGAGGAGATCACACACCTATCTATATCAATGGGACTGCAGTGGAGAGGGTCAGCAGTTTTAAGTTCCTGGGAGTTAACATCTCAGAGGACTTAACCTGGACCCACCACACCAACACCGTGGTCAAGACAGCACGGCAGCGCCTGTTTTTTCTCCGCAGACTAAAGAAGTTCGGCATGCCATCACATATCCAGGCCAACTTCTACAGTTGCACTATTGAGAGTATCCTGACTGGTTGCATCACTGCCTGGTATGGGAGCTGCTCCGCCCGGGATCACAAAGTACTGCAGAGGGTGGTGAAGTCAGCGCAGCTCATTACCGGCTGTTAGCTACCAAACATCCAGGAGATCTACTCCGCTAGATGTCTGAAGAAGGCCAGGTCCATTCTCAAGGACCCCAGTCATCCTAGTCACAAACTGTTTTTCCTCCTACCATCCGGTAAACGGTACCAAAGCATTCGGTCCAGGTCCAACAGACTACAGAACAGCTTCTACCTCCAGGCAATAAGACTGCTAAATAGCCAACCTGCAGCTCCTTTAGCAAATCACCTGTAATGGCTACATGGACACACAGTTTTCACTGTATTCAGCATAAACGCACTACTTGTATATACTGCATACACCATGGACACATCGCAGCTCTACTCATATTGAGTTTTATTCCATTTCTATTACATCTATTATTATGTACATGTAACCTTATTTTCATAACCTCAATTTTGTGATTTTTGTGACTTTGTGATTTTTGTGATTTTTGTGAGCTCGCGGAAAAGAAATGTCATTGCCACCACATACTGCACGC